ACTCTTTAAAGACATGGAGCTACTGGGGTTAAATAGTGACCAAAAAATTAACATTGAACATGCCAGTTAGAGATTTAAGATCACCAAAATGCACCGCAAAGATCTCTGTGGCACATGGAAGCAGCTAAAAGTGTGTTGGCTGAGGTTGATAACTGACTTTTCAGAGTAAAAATTGGACCCTGCCATTTTACTCCAACAGAAAAAGTGTCCATTGAAGGCCAGATGCCCATATGTAAAAGGTGGAAAACTTTAACAATCCAATGCCCAGTTAAAGGGCATCACCAAAAATTAGGGTGCATTTTTATTTGCAAGGTGCTCTTCTAACAGGAAGATTACAATTGTTACAAGGCTGTTTACACATAACTATAAGCAAGATCCCATAAGTGGAAAGTTATGGGAAACCAAACCATCCAAAACATTTTAAGTAGCTTTGGAGTGAATAAAATTAAATGTCATAATATATTCAGAGATTTAAATTAACTGTTTAGGACAGCAGCAATGAAATTGGCTTAGAGAAATGTTACCCTTTAGGGAGATGTGTTTTACCCTACATGTTAGCAGTACTTTGAATAGGCCACATTGCTGAAAGAGTTACAGCTATTCTATGTATCGTTTTGTTTTGGAGCTCAGAAATAATCCTAATCTGAACAGAAACTTAAGAGTTTTAGATTTCATTAATCAATTGTGCAACTGTTATCAATGCTCCTTAAAATAGTTTACCAATATGTGGAAATAAGGATTTTAAGAATTTTTTGTACAAAAATGTTAGGGTGTTATAAATTGCCACTGTTCTAAACGGTTAATTTCAATCTCTTCATAAGTTTAACATTAAATGAAAATTTAAGATTTTAAATTAAATTGTATATTGGGATGTTAGTTTTCCATTTACTATAATATAGAGTAAAGTTAACATTTTATTATTAAAGCTAAGATTTTTACTATATTTTTTCAGAGCACTACTCTAAAGAGATGGAGCTACTAGGGTTAAATAGTGGTCAAAAAATTGACATTAAAGGTGCCAGTGAGAGATTTAGGATTAGCCAATAGTTGGCACATGAAGAGCATAATTCTCTTTTTACATGGAAGCAGCTAAAAATGTGTTTGCTGAGCTTAATAACCGACTTTTCAAAGTGAAAATTGGACCCTGACATTTTACTCCAACAGAAAAAGTGTTCATTGAAGGCCAAATGCCCATATGTAAAAGGTGGAAAACTTCAACAATCCAATGCACAGTTAAAGGGGCATCACCAAAAATTAGGGTGCATTTTTATCAGCAATGTGCTCTTCTAACAGGCAGATTGCAATTGTTACAAGCTCTTTACACATAACTATGAGCGTACTACCATAAGTGGAAAATTATGTAAAGTAGGTTTGGAGTCAAACAAAATGTCATAATATATTCAGAGATTGAAATTAGCTGTTTAGAACAGCAGCAATGAAATTGGCTTAGAGGAATTTTACCATTTAGGGAGATAGATATTAGCCTACCTTTTAGCAGTACTTTGAATAGGCCACATTGCTGGAAGAGTTACAGCTATACTGTTTATCCTTTTGCTTAGGAACTCAGAAATAATCCTAGTCATAATAGACACTAAAGAGTTCTGGATTTCAATCAATTGTGAAACTGCTGTCTTTGACATTTAAAATGAATTTCCTGATATGTTAATTTTTCTCAACTACATCATGTCTAAAGAATTTTATTTAAGCTGATTGGGAACTAACCCTGCAATAATATTACATGCCATGTTAGAGCTCATGTCATAGGAAGTTAAAGCTATTGACTTTAAGCTGAAGAGTTTCTGAAATTAAAATTCTTCTGTATTTCTAAGCTGTAGGACTGAATAGAGAATACCAGCTGGAGTGCATGTTGCTGTGTGTTTGAGGCTATTCCTCATAGAAGACTGGACTGCATTTAAGACTCCTGAGTCCTAGAGTCACCTTTCCCACGTGCTGTTCCTATAGGCGGAACCTGGGAAGGCTGATACGTACCGCGCCCCTGGTTTTAAAAACACACTGTCCGTTAACACCGCAAGGTGGAACCAGCATGCCCAGGAAGCAGAAGAGTTCTCCGTTGATTCTCTACTAGTCTGTTGAAGACTGGCAGCCTGCAAGTTTACTGACTGACCTTAGCTTCCCAGTGCAGAGTGAATTGCACACCAGTAGATCTCCACCAGGTTGTTGCAGTTGTGTTCCCCAGAAGGATGAGCAAAAGCAGCAATAGCAAGGTGTTGCTATCCAATCATCCTCCCAGGGAAGAAGAACCTGAACACCAGCTGCAGTAAGCTGCTGCCTTCAAGGTCTCCAGAGACCTGCTGAGATTAAAACCACCACCCCTGAAATGAGAGGAAAGAGCAATTCTAGTGCCATCATACACCGCAAGACCCCTAGAAAGCTCAGTAACAGCAAAGGATCATGACCACATTCACAAAGTGAAGAGACTTACCCAAAGCTGCCTCAGTAGGATCCATCTTAGCAGGCAGCAGTTCCACTCTGAACACCTCATTGTGACTCATGGTGCAGATTTCCTAAATGTTTTAGCTCCTTCGAAAACATCTAGTTTGAAAGAGGAGCTCATGCTAATCACAACACTATATGATTTTTTAGGGATTGCAGAAAAAACAGCAAAACTAGAAGCTAAAATATGAAGCCCCACAATGCAATGCATTCTGGGTTCTTCTAAAGTCCATTTCTGATGTTCAGAACAGTATTAATACATATTTCTGCCCCCTAGCAGGATCTCAGCGATGAAGTTAGAAGCTGAGCTGTGATTTTTGTCTTGAAAACGCAGTTTGAAGAGAAAAAAATGAAACATGGTTAAAATATAAGACTTTAAAAACCAAATTCAAGCCTTCAGAGCAGCATTAAGATGAAACTCCATCATCCAACAGAGGGACTGAGATGGCATTTTAAAACTGAGCTGAGTTCAGTCCAAAAAAGAGAGTTTAAAAAGTAAAAGGCCAGAAAATCAGTTTGAAAATTGACTTTAAAGCAAATTCCTGTTGAGTATAACAGCATCAAGGCTAAACTTCATCCAACAGAAACTCAGAGACGACTTTTTAAAGCTGAGCTGATTTATTTAAAAAATTGAACTCAAAAACAAGTAAAAATGTATTGAAATATGATTAAGTTGAAGCAACTGAGGATGGGGCTGAGTTTCAGCTCGATAGGAAATTCCTCGCCAGACTTTGATTAGGTTGAATAATTCATGTAGCTGCCATAGTTCCTCCTTTCATGTAGCTATGGCAGCTTCATGAAAGGAGCAGGCCAGGGCCACCAAACATGGTGGGAACCTGCAGAGGCTTGTAGGGAGTATAGAAACCAAGCTTGATCTAATGAGGTTCACCTCTTGTTATGTTATGAGAACCTTAGATACTCTCTTTTATTATAAGATCATCATACAGATAAGTTTATAACAAATGCACTGCTTGCAAATTAAATACATTTCATTTGGTTAACAAATGCCCTATTTGTAAAGTAGTCACAATTTATTTTATTGTACAAAAATGACCACACTGAAATGAAGAAGTCTATGCTGTCCTACTAAAATCATAGCTGAAAAATAGTGAAAACCCAATTAAATCAAATTGAAAGATAGGGGAGGAATAATAACGAGGAAAACACAAATATTAGTAAATATGTCTAAGTGCTCCCAAAAAACCAACCTCAAACAAAAATCCCTAGTAAATACAACAAAACAATAAATTCCCCTTCCACTAGTCTCTCCAAGCTAAATAACCCAGAGAGAGCAGGTCCCTTTAAAATGAGCCAGAGGACTAAAAAACTTTTCCACCCGTTTTCTTTTCCCAGTGGTTTGTTATCTGATGCTTGACTTATTGCTCACTAGTGACATCTGCTGTTGCACTGAAATAACAGCATCAAATGTCAGCTAATGTTTCTGTTGTCATAGAAACCATCTTGATAGTATCAACAGTCGCTTCGTAAGATCTCACTGCTAAGAGATGCTAAACCTTCAGTCAGTTGTGATGACAGGCTTTGTCCTGCAGGGGGAGACAAATCAGAAAGCTGAGCTGAATCACACCAAGGGATGCTGGGAGGAGAGGAAGAGGAGGAAGAAGAGGAAGAGGAGGCGATGATGTAAGCAGAAGCTGCAGAGATGCTAGCAGCCGAGTGACAGAGGAACCCAAAGTGACGGAGCCCACCAGCTTCTACAGTCTGGCAGAGAGGCAGCAGCACACACACCCTGACACACACACACTCACCTCAATACACACACACTGTAAGCTGCAGTGGAGCTAGCTTCTGATAGCCTTATAGCATGCTGCACAGGAGGCTGATCAGCAAAAACGATGAGGCGAACGAAGCTTCCTGCTGCATGGTAAGTTCTGCATCTTTCTGCTGCTGGCGCTGATCCTGTTCCCACAGAAACAATCAACCTGTCACTGTCCTTCATCACACAGAAGGATCAGGAAGTCTCTGCAGAGTACAAATAAAACTTGGGAGGTAGGGTTAGGGTGCGGCGGCCCGTGCGTACCTTCAATTCCCTATTCAAACTGTCCCGTGCACGGGGCGAGGGCAGTTGTGGAGACAGATTATTGTCCTAAAAAAAACCCAGCGCCTCTGGACGAGCGGGCTCCGTCTTCACGCCAGAACACCTGAGATCTGCCCCAGTGGGGTCTTGGTTAGTGAGGACAGGACTCAGTGTCAGCATTAGTTGCTTAACGACTTAGCTTTTAGCCTTATTGTTCCACTCTTCTCACCTGTATCCCTTCAGTTTAGACTGACTGGAGTAGAGGGGGACAGAGCTGCAGCCCGATCCGGCGGTTTCCCCTATGCTCTGTCTTTCCTCGACCTTCTTTCAGTGGGGGGTGGGGGTGAATCTTTTTTAATTTGTATTTTTTACTTTTTGATACCTTTTCATTGTTGTTCTTTTTCTTTTTATATTTGAGATTGCCCTTCCTGCACTTTTTAACATTATAGTCTTACATTTAGTCTTTATTATGGACTTAAGTTAATAAACATAGCTTTGTTTCATGTTTTTAATTTGAAAAGGGTGTATTTATACTTTTTTCACTAATTACATTATTTTATTTATTTAATTAACTTTGCAATTAATAGGAGTAGTCTGCTTAGACTTTTTCAGGTTTTCTTTGTAAGACAGTCATGGTCACACATCCACATCGATAGCTTTCTCATCTCCTTGGGCACGACCAGTGGACGGGGAAGTTGTGGACGGCGTGCGGCGGCCCGTGCATTACCTTAAACTCCCCAGTTTCAACTGCCCAGTCGACGGACGAGGTGGGGGGAGTTGTCGAGAAAGTTTTTACTCACCTATTCTGTGTTAGTTATAGCTCAATGTTGATAACAATTCAGTGAGGTGAGTGTAACAGAGTAAAAAATGCATTTTGTTGAATTACAAATTTACACTATTATTTATTTATTTATCTATATATTTATTAATTTAAAATAGATATTTTAGGTCAAGTTTTCTGTTATTCATGTGTACTTAACTTTTTCTCCCTCACATCACCATTAAGCTTTGTGAGGGTAGGTTACGTTGTAATAAGTTGCTGATTGTCAGGTGTTGGCGCTAGGCTGGGTGGGCAACCTTTTTCTTTTCCACCAGATGGAGCCAGAGGTTGGCAGTCGTTGGAGGGTGGATCCTGCGCACCTGTGCGTAATCGACATCCATCACCGCCAGCATAAGAAGAGCGGGCGGTCGGTTCTCCAGCGCTTGAGTGTTAACCTCCAATGGTACTCAGAGCCCGCACTGAACCTAATGTCGGTATCTTTTTGCACGAGTTTCAAGCAAGCCTGAGATAACTTCTGACATATTTCCTCACAGGGTTTCCAGCACTGGAGAAGCACTTCCTGAGACCTTCAAGTCTGACTCGAGAACCGCCGAGACTGGCCGAAACCCGCTCTCTTCCTGCCCGCCCTCCAACGACTAATCCATCAGCCACCAACCACTGGATCCGGACCGGACCCCTCCTCCAGTCAGACACCCCCCCTTCCCAGCAGAGACTTCATACTCACCAGTAAGCCTGTTCCTGAACCCTGTTGGTTATCAGTATTCTTACACTTACCACATCTTTCCCTGTATTTAGGGCAGAGACGACCCTAACCCAAGGTCCCCCTCAGAGACACATCACAGACTCTTTATTATTTTTTGATCCAATACATTTTATTCATTTACCAAATTGCATCTCCTTGTTTATGCGTCTGCATGTGGGTCAAGCGTGTAGCTTCAACCATGACATTGATATTTTACAAATATTTCCTCTTTTGAAATGTATGTTCTAAAATATTACTATAATACTTTATTTATTTTTAATGGATATTTTATTAAAGCCATAGAAGACAACTACATAAAACCAGAAGACATCTGATTTATGTCTTTCTTTATTGTCTTCTACAGATTAAACAAAGTTTTTGCTCTCAGTGAATAAAAGCCCATTTGAAAACGACTATTTACTGAGCAATTCTAATGGTGAAATTAGGTTAATGATCTAAAGTTCATATACTGTTTGTCAAACATTCTTTAGTTGCCACTAATATTCAGAAAATATCTGCTGTGTGAAAGACAAGTTGTTACAGGATAATAGGTAACTTGTGACCTTTGAATTTCTCAATAAAAGCAAATTAATCATGACTGACTAGTTTCACATAGTTGCATTTACCAAGTTTGTCAGTTGAACAAAGCAGGTTTTTACTTCGACAGAAGTAGTGATACAACAAAGAAAGGAGCTACATCTACTGGAAAACTCAACATGGCAGCGAGTACAGCTAAAGGTCTGAACATTCTTGTTCCAATTGTATTATTAACTTTTTTTTATTACACAGCAATCCTAAACAATGACTCATAACTCTTTAACTGCATTGGATTTGCATGATTATGTTCATGTGTAATACACACTGCAGTAATTGTTCAGGGAGAGTTACTCTGGTGCAAAAATTTGCAGACTATAATATAATAGCCTATTTTAAATATATTGTATTTTTCTGAAGTACATTTTTAGTATGCTATCAAGTGGGTATACTTATGAAGATCATTTTACACAAGTGTAAAATAAATACTTTCTTAAAAACCGTAACCCTAACCCTCTAAAAATTAGACTAATTATATTTCAAGGAAACACTAGTTGTTGACATACATGCTACTTTATGCTAACAAAGTATGCCTTACTAGGTGCATTAATAGTATGTTACTATTTAGATCAATAGGAAAGAAAAAAAGGGAAAAAAAACAACAATCCCTATGGTGGTACTTACTGTAATGTTGTTTAATAAAGTCATAAATATTTTGTTCATGCCTCAAAACATAAAATGTTGACAGTTTAGTGACAGAGGTTCTAGTGAAACGTTACTTGTTCTTTACACTAAATTTAGAAGGTATATTCAGTTTTAAATCTCTCCTAATATGATCTGTTTTTCTCAGTTCTTTAACTACAACACAGAAGCTATCTTTACCAAATTTCATTTTCATTAAGAATCAGCAGGTGTAGCCAATCGATCAATGAATGTTTTTCACCAATAAGCTTGTGCACAACCAAAGTAACTGATCACTGAGTGACTTGGCAACAGTTAACCTCACATAAGAAGCAATGTCCCTCTATAGGCGCAGCAAAATGAAGCTGAAATCAAAGCAACATGGAGATAAATTTAGGGGTGCCAAAGAATGTGTAACAGCTCTAAATACTGTGAGAGCTACACTAAAGAAGCAGAACCCAGGAAAATAAAAACGTTGTTCTCTAAAGCTTATTGTATATATATATATATATATATATATATATATATATATATATATATATATATATATATATATATATATAATTTATCAATGTTTCAGTTATAACAAGTAAAAAGTAAAGTTAATTTCTTTTTTCTTTTAATATACAGCCTGGAATTCCATTGGATTTACCACAGACGCTCCCCCAAGCCACAGTCTCAGTGTGGATGCTGCAGACATTGCTGTTGTTGTTATTTACTTTATTGTAGTCATGGTGATTGGAATCTGGGTAAGATGAGCCACAGAACATTAATACACATAAAAATGTTTTTTTTAATCTATTTTTTGTATATGTCTAATGTTGTAATGGTTTTAATGGTTTTGTTGTTGAGATAACATTCAGACTTTAAAATCTTCCAGTTTTCACATGAAAACAAATTCTATTGTGCTCACAAGTGTTCAGGTTTAATTCTTCTTCATTCTATAACATATAGTTCAAACAAATTTTGATGATATAAACAAAGGTGGATTAGTATTCAGATACTAAAATGAATCCCAAATTTATTTAATGTACATAGTATGTCAGTATATTATTTCTATGTGCTGAACTGTGTATTCACTCCCGACACTATTGTTCCAGTTTAAATGGATCAGAGTCGGTCAGAATTTTTTGTGCAGATGTATATACATAGAAAAAAACCCTGGTGCCGACCAACAACTGGACTGAAACCCACTGTTTGAGGTGATGTTGGTCTGCTTTGAAACAAATTCTTGTCTACACATAGAGCTCACAACACAAAATCTGGAGTGAGTGATTCTTAGCATTAAAAATGCACTTTTAAGCTTATTTTTTTCTGGGTGTGTGTTGTGTCACGCCTCCATCATTTATAGGAGCACTGATTATGCATTTCTTCTATGAATGACATGCATTGTGTAAGCAAACCACAAAAGACTCTGAGTGTGAAGACACCCTAAGTGAGGGATTAAATTTGGTATTGTTATCATTTGGTATCAATAGTGATTTTGGATCTAAACTAAGATGATTGAAGTATTTCTTTTTTTATTATTAAAGATTTTATTATTTTTCAGAACACAAATACAAATAATCAACCCTTCCCAGTCCCACCCCATTACCCCACATTGAGAACTTAAGAAACAAAAAAAAAAGAAAAAAAAAAGAGAAAAGGGCAGCCAGGTCTGCACACATCAAATCAATAAAATTTTCACGGAAAATTGACATATAAAGGCATCCTCGGTATGAGCATTGTCAACCCTACCAACCAAAGGTTTATAAGTAGTGCTTTCACAACAGCAGATCCTCAAAGGGGTTTACTTGTCCCGATATTGCAAGAAAGAAAGTTGTTCCAGGATTTCTTTAAGTTTTCTAAATAATCATTTAGCTTAGCCAGCATTCGTTCATATGACACTATTTCAAGCATCAATTCCAACCAACTTTTGAGATTTAAGTATTTCTATAACGCTGTCTAGTTCAGCAACAGCTGCTTAGGGTCCAAACTTCGTTTGGTGTTGTAGTGTAGTGTTGTAGCTCCATTTGCATTTCTAGTAGTAACAGCTCCATTAGTACTGTTTGTCTTTGACGTTTCTCCCAGCGTCTGTAGCGCAGTGTCTGCTGTGCCGTTTAGGGGCGGTGATAACAGCCCCAACAACACCGGACCTCAGTTCTTGGGTTTTGATCTCAGTAATAAAATTGAGCCTACTCTGACTAGCAGTAGTAGTATTAGCCTCCATGGAGCCAAGACACATCAGAGAGGCAAGACAGTATTTTTTCATAACTTTCCCACAGAAAGCTGATTTCAGAAATTTGCTGTGAATGAAACATAACGATGGATTTAAAAATGTAATTCACAAGAGAAAGGCAGAGGGGTAGCTAAAAATCTACAAGGTACCAAGCTTCAGAAATAAGCTTAAGGTCTCAATGATTTCAGTATAGCTCCTGTTAGCATCTCATAGAGTATCCAGCTCTGCCTGTCTCTTCAAGGCATTTACTTTTAACTGGTTAAGGTAATGATTAGAGCCGTTAGAGCCTTTTTTAGTTCTGCTGGTATAAAAGATTCAAAGAGTTGTGGAGAAAGATCTAGGACTCTTGTACTGCGCTATCTTTCTTTCATGTGGGAAATTATCCAGAGTCCTCTCAATTTTTATTTTTATTTTGTTAAATTACAGCCAATAGTGACAAAGTATGGGATTTTCTAAAAGTACACTAGTCAAATGCAATATGATAAACAACAACTCAGGAAAAGTTAGCCTACCTATGTTTCCTTTGTAGATTCTAGTACACAATGGACCATTATGCATCATCAACCCATTGGTGAAAAAATAGCGACCTCCATAGGCGAAAAATGTAACAAAAGATGCCAATTTTTAATTATGAGTTTTAGCATATCACAAACAGCAATTTTTTAGGCAATATGAACATTGCAACATATTTAGGCCAACATGTTAAACTAATCCTGTATCCTTTCAAATGTGACTGAACATTCAGGTTATTCATCTGACCTAAATGTCACTGATATTCAATAAATGTCTCTATTCTGTGTAAGTTGGCAAAACACTGAGAACACTCTCCATGTGTGACATTATTACGCCCTCTACTGTGTATGCGGTACACTTTCAGGTTGTTTGCAGTTTACATTGGAAATCGCATACAAGTTGCATATATTTGGAAATATGAAGGGCCATGGCACAAAAAAATCTGTTTTGACAAAAAAATTGGAATTTTGTCACTTCAGGCTGCAGTGTGAACATAGGCTATTTTCTCTCCATATCACAGAGAGATATGGAGAGAAGCCCCGTCACAACACACTTCCTGTCTGACCACTCTCAAATAAAGGCCACTATAGCTGGAAAATTTTATTACTAATCTAATGTACATCTTTTTGTTCAACAGTCATCAGTGCGAGCTAATCGGACCACTGTGGGGGGATATTTTTTGGCTGGTCGTTCCATGACATGGTGGCCAGTAAGTACAAGCATTTTAATGCAGAGGTAGTAAGTGTTTATGTTCCTGCTCTGCTTATGATAATAAATACAAGTATTATTTTCACATTTCCTACAAACTTGGTACATTTTGCTTCAGACTTCTGTGGAACCTCTGGAGATGATGGTACAAAAAGAATTTTACATAAAATCTATGGAGATGTGGAAAACCTGACCATCCTCTTCATAAGACTGTCTTAGAAAAACAAAGTGTCTTCAGTCAGAGGCTTCTACTAATTTGCTGTAATACAGACTGCTACACAAGATCCTTCCCGCCCACAGCAATTGCCATCTACAATAACTCTTTGAAGAGTCTTGAATAAATCTTAGTCACAATTAATTTACAATTGGCATCAAAAAAATATTTTGGAATTTGAAAAACTGAGAAATCATAGATAACAGTGCCTAGAAAATGCAAATTTACTCATTTATTAACAGCACATAAAAGAAAATGCTTATCAATCAATCAATCAAATTTTCTTTGTGTAGCCCTGTGGTAAACTGAGGTTACTGTAATGACTGTATGTTGAGGTTAATAGAAATCTTACATAGTTCAAGACAAGATTTATTGATTTATTATTAAAATAAAACATTTATTTTATTAAAATAAATGTTTATTAAAAATAAACATTTATTTACTAATGCATAACATTGGTGATAGCTATGGATTTTATATTCTTGTTTTTGAAAGAAATGCAGTATTTTCCTTTACTTTAATATTTAAATAATAGAAAGAGTAAAGGTAGCTATTAAGTAATTTGCTTACTTAGTAATTAAAACTGTATTATTTGTAAATCAACTACTTAAAAGCCTTGTCAGTGATTGTGCATGGAGAATGACAATCAATGATATATTTATCCTCCCTAAAAAACAAAAGAAAATCCACTTGATTGGACTGGCAACAAATATAATCAATTAAGCTTACTAAACTGTTCTTGTTCCTCTCTATTATATGATTTCACTGACAGATTGGAGCCTCCCTGATGTCAAGTAACGTTGGCAGCGGTTTGTTCATTGGACTTGCAGGAACAGGAGCAGCTGGAGGCATTGCTGTGGGAGGATTTGAATGGAATGTAAGAAGTACAACTCAGAAAACAAAGTAAATAATCACATTAGTCTATTCAACAATCACATTATTAAAAAATGTAATTATCAAAACAAACTGATAGTTAATAGTTGCTGTAATGACTGTAGCAGGTAATAAGTGAGAAGAGTCTACTTAATAAATGGTCCACCAACCTCCTCGCTTGTAATGGCGAACCTGGAGGTTTAAACGGACCAGGCACTGAGCGAGAAAATGACCAGGGGAACCACAGTCAATGCATAGGTGGGCAGAGATGCGTCATTGCCGCTCCTCGGGAGTTAGCCGAGTTAATCAAGAAATATTACACAACAGAAGAAGAGGCAGCATATTAATGGTTTTCGAACCATACATATAGACTAAAAGCAGTATTTTGAAGTCTATTCTCTGAGCTACAGGGAGTCAGTGTAGTGACGTTAGAACTGGTGTGATGTGCCCATCTGTCATATTCCAAAGACTCTGCAAGATCCATATGGCCATTGAACAAGATGGTGTATTGCAATAGATGAGTTTCATCAGGAATAGATGGCTGCCTAAAACAATGCTGGACCCATCCCTTCATTGTCGTTATTCTGCAATATCTTTGTTATTACACAATAGCCAATCCCGCCTAACCTCACAACTCCCTTGGGCTGACTACTGACCAGCTCTCCGTCTAATGAGCTGATTAGGATCAGGTGTGCTGAGTGACAGCACACACACACACACTCTGGCAGGGTGAGTCTGGCGCCATCTGGTGGTCAAAGGTGAGAAGTATGCTCAAAAAACCCACAAAGAAAACTAAAGAACCCCAGGACATAACAGTACTCCCCTTTAATGGTCGCCACCTGGCGGTCTTGAGGAAATGGAGGGTAGTGAAGAACGATAGTCAGAGATAAGGGATGAATCTAAAATAAAGGAACCCAGAACCCAAGAACCATCCTCTGGACCGTAGCCCTCCTAATCAAAGAGGTACTGCCAGCTGTGACCTCATCTACGGGAGTCTACGATCCAGAGGACAGAATATGTGGGATGGCCATCAACTTCATGGGGGGTAAGGCAAAGTGTGCTGGTCTGAACGAGCTTTATTTGGGACACGTGGAAGTTGGGATGGATCTGGAGGGAGGCGGGAAAATGGAGACAGACAGCAAATGAGTTGATGATGGCTTCTATAGCAAATGGACCAATATAACAGGGAGAGAGTTTCTTTGACATGGACTTGAGGGGAATGTCTCAGGAGGATAACCAAATTTGTTGATTGGGGGTGTAAGTGGGAGGTGGATTTTTTTTCCAGTCAGCCTGACACTTATTTTGTTCTGCGGTGTGGTTGAGACTGTGGATAGTGGGTAGATAGAGGTGATGGAAATGTTTTCTTCATTGGATGGGAGTAGTGGTGATTGATAGCAAATGGATGCTTTGAACGGAGACAGACCTTTGGCAGCGGAAACATGGCTGTTATGGGCATATTCTACCCAAGGGAGGAATTGGGACCAGTTGGAGGGATCAGAGGATGTGAGGCAGCAGAGGGTAGTTTCGAGATTGTGATTCAGATGTTCTGGATGGCCGTTGGACTGAGGATGAAAATCAGACATGAGTGAAACATTGGCATTTAATCCTGAACAGAAATTTCTCCAAGCGTGGGAGATGAATTGTGGTCCTCGGATGTCCTGCGGGATGCCATGAAGCCGGAAAACATGTTTAACCAAAAGTTGAGCTGTTTGGAAGGCTCTGGGTAATTTCTGGAGGGGGACAAAGTGGGAGACTTTGGAGAAACAGTGGACAATAGAGAGGATGTTAGTTATGCCCTTGGAAGGTGGCAAGCCGGTGACTATCTATTCCAATATGGAACCATGGGCGTTTCGAAGTGGGAAGTCATTGAAGGAGACCAGATGGAGATTGATGAGAGGATTTATTTTGGGAACAGATGGTGCAGGCTTGGGCATACTCATGGACATCTTTATGGTTGGACGGCCACCAGAATCTTTGGTTGACTAGGGCGATGGCGCGACTGATACCGGGATGACCTGAGAATTTTGACGCGTGGATCCACTGAAGAAAACAGGCTCGGATGGAGGATGGGATGAAGATTTTATTGGGTGGACAGGAGTCGGGAGCTGGACCGGACAATTGTGCTTGTTTAATGACATTTTCTATTTCCCAGGTTACTGCTGCCACTGTGCAGCTGGGAGGAAGGATGGTGGCAGGAACCTTCTCGGAATCATCAGGTGAATAGAGTCAGGAAAGGGCATCTGGTTTTGTATTGCAGGAACCTGGGCAATATGAGATGGAGAGGTTGAACCGGGAGAAGAATAATGACCAGTGTGACTGTCGGGGATTTAACCTTCTAACAGATTGTAGGTAGGACAAGTTCTTGTGGTCGGTCCAGACGAACACTGGATGCTCTGCCCCCTCCAGTCAGTGTCTCCACTCCTCCAGGGCCAATTTAATGGTTAGTAGTTCCCGGTCTCCCACATCCTAGTTCCTCTCCGGAGGGGTTAATCTGCGTGAGAAGAAGGCACAGGGGTGAGTTTTATTGTCATGAGACGAGATCTGGGATAATACAGCTCCAGCTCCGGTGTCTGATGCATGTACTTCCACGATGAATTGTTTAGAGGGGTCTGGTTGAATGATGTGAGAAGGCGGCTTCAGCTTCATGAGTCCAACTGAAAGGGATCTTGATGGAGGTGAGAGCGGTAAGGGGTAATCCAGTCTGACTGTAATTGCGGATAAATCGGCAGTAGAAATTGGCAAACCTGAGGAAGCGTTGCAGCTGCTCGCGGGTCTCTGGTGTTGGCCACTCTAAAACCGCTTGGATTTTCTCCTCAGTTGACCTTACCTGTCTGCCCCTAATATAAAACCTAGAAATGAAACAGATGATTTATAAATTCACATTGTTCAGCTTTGACATATAATTTATTTTCTAGGAGTCATTGCAGGACCAGATGGACATAATGTTTGTGTTCTTCAATGGACTTTGAGTAGATCAAGATATCATCGAGGTAAACGAATAGAAAAATGTTCAGGAAATCTCCTAGAACATCGTTAACAAGAGCTTGGAAGAAAGCAGAGGCATTAGAGAACCCAAATGGCATAACAAGGTACTCAAAATGACCAATGGGTGTCTTAAATGCTGTCGTCCACTCGTCTCCTTTACGGATAGGAAGAAGGTGTTACGCGTTTCTTAAATCTAGTTTGGAGAATATGGTTACTTCATGAACTGGTTCTCATTTAACCCTCTGTAATCTATGCAGGGTCTCAAGGAGCCATCTTTCTTTCCCATAAAGATAAACTTGTTCCTATGGGCGATGAAGATGGATGGATTATTCCAGCAGCAAGAGACTCTTATGTATTTTTCCATCGTCTCTCTTTCAGGATGGGAAATATAGACTAGAGCGGATAACGGAAAGGACTGAGTTTTGTAGATGACTGTAGCAGGTAATAAGTGAGAAGAGTCTACTTAATAAATGGTCCACCAACCTCCTCGCTTGTAATGGCGAACCTGGAGGTTTAAACGGACCAGGCACTGAGCGAGAAAATGACCAGGGGAACCACAGTCAATGCATAGGTGGGCAGAGATGCGTCATTGCCGCTCCTCGGGAGTTAGCCGAGTTCACCACACCTGCATGGGTCGGGCTCCTGAGGAGCTTGGGGAGGAGAGACTGCCGGACTGGGAGTTATGCCTCTAAGGTGTTTGGCCAGTGGATTTCTCCGGCTCTTCTCCCTAGCACGAGAACAGACTCTTTTGTCGAGGCGGATAGATTGATTGATCAGGTCCTCAAGAGTCTCCAATTTTTCTAGCGTTGCGAGTTTATCTTTTAATGATTTGTTAAGAATGTTAAAGTATGCGCTTTTTTTTTGTTTGTTTTTTTGAAAATTGCCATACAACATGGAATCAAGAGAAGCCATGGGAAATATACAACAGTAATAAAGAGAAACATTCAAGAAAAATAACTGGTGTAAGTAAAGACTTTAGTCTTTATTCATTCATTATAGTCACTTATATTGTAATATTTTTTTCTGTTTGAACTTATGTACACATACAACATAAACAAAAACCTTCAAATAGTATTTCCATCAGTTAAACAGAGTGTTGTTGAAATTCAATTGTTACATCCTTCTGAGACAGCAGGAGAGTATAAAAATGAACCAAAATGAAAAACATAAAATTAAATACAATTAAGCAAAACTGTGAATTAGATTCTCTTTTTCTCGTTAGACAACAGACATTTTCTCTCCAAGGAAGAACCCTTCTTTCATTTCTATTATATCTTCATTAATCAACTAATCTGCAACACTTTAGCTTTAGTCTGTAGCAACTTTTCAAGAACTAAACGTTTTTATGGCTTTATTGATGACTGTAATTATTTGCCTTTCTGTTATTTTGATTGCTGTTAGGTTGCTGATTGCTTGAATAATTCCAGGTCATTGAGCATGTGAAATTGCAATCCTTTGAGAGAGGTCTGTAATAATTTATGACCTTGAAACCATCCTTGAACAGTTTAATGAAGGTCAGAGAGTTTCCAGTGAGGGAGTTCAGTCAAGCTGTCATACACCCCCAATATACAATGCTCCTTCCCCCTTCCTTCTTTCTGATTAAGGTTTTTTCTGGTTTAACCTTCCCATCCATTTCCCATTTGCACCCTCTTCCAAGCATTTTTTTATCCTGTTTTTTTCTGTCACATTTTACCTTCTCTCTTTCTCCTCACCATCACCTCTTCCACAGAAACCAAATTCCCCAGTATCATTCCAGTCCTTTATTACCTTGTATAAACTGAGAGCTGTTTTCTTGTCTCGGAGGCCTGGGCATAAACCCCTTAAGATGGGGGATTTGCCTTTCGTAATAGCTACTAAATACTAATGTCAATGAACTAGTAATAGTTGCATGTCTTTTCTGAGCCAGAATTGCTTGCAGGTCTGTTTTCCACATGACACAAAAACACAATATGCTTTTATGAACTTCAGGCAGTGAAACTGTCCATTCTGTTCAGAAAATAAGTTCAGTGCATATCATTTCTTTATGCCTGTGAAAGTGCCTTGCAATGAAGAAAAAATGAAGCTTCTCCTTTCCTTTGAGTTTTTATACCCTCTCTCCTCATTGTTGTGTATTGGGAGATGAAGAATGTGACTCCTCGAGCATTCAATTACCTCATGGAAGGTCCCATGCCTTCCTATATTCGGACAACTCCCTGGTCACTTCTACTTTGTTGTTTACTTTACTTCATTCTTCTTAACCTGTTCCTGCTTCCCCATTTTGACTTCCTTATTTGGAACACAGATTGAAGCATGCCTGGACATATCTGTGTTTCACCAACTGTAATTTTACAACTATGTGATTGTATTCAGTTACATTTCTCATCTTTTACAAAATCACCATAACCATAAAACACAATAATCTTTTAATACATTTCTTTATCCATAACTGATTTCAATAATTAGATTTGAATACTTTTTATTAACTTTTAATTCATCATTTGTTCCTGTTGTAATTATTAACACTCATATGTAATCATTCAAATCAGAAATTACTTACTTCATAATCATCAGTACATTATATAGTAACGTTATATAATAAACTAAAATTCGCTTAAAAGTAGTTTGAAAAAAACAACGACAAAAAAACTTGGTTGGTGTCAAGTATTTCTGGTTGTATATAGTACGTTATATACTGAGGTATATTTCTTACAGTCATTATCAAATCAACATACAAGATTACTTCAGTTTCTCAGGCCTTTATGATCTGTTTCTGCGTGAACCTGGAAAGATCTCACCTCTTCAAGCCAGTTTTCACGACAAATAGCACCTCTTTGAAACAGATGGTTTTGGTTTTATATCGGGACGACAGCTGATTCTGCTTCACAGAAGGCTAAGGTATTGTCAGATATGCATAAAGGACATCAAGGACTAACAAGATGCTGGGCATTCACTAGGATGGCAGTGTGGTGACCAGTCATCAGTGCTGAAATTAAACAGAAGTGTTATCATGCAACTTCTGCATTTATAACAAACCAACCCAGAGGCGACAACCTCTCCTTGCATCAACCCTACCAGAGGGTCCATGGCAGTGCATAGCTGCAGATCTGTGTGAATTTGAGAGATAGTATATCTCTTTGTGGTCTACTATTGATCCAAAGATACAAAATGGCTCGCCTACCATCCATATCTAGCCATCATGTCATCAGTCAACTCAAGGGCATGTTTGTGCGGTGGGAAATTCCACTGGAATTGGTCAGTGATGATACAGTTTTCATCTAGGCCCTTTACCCTCAGGTGAACGGGGCTGCTAAATGCAGACTGCTGAATGCAGACTGCTGAATGCAGACTGTTAAAAACATCTTGAAGCAGCCTGACCCATGTCTTGCCCTGATGTGATACAGAACAACCCACCTCCAAGCCGGCTCACAGCCTGCTGATTACCGGATCAGCTGCAGTCACCGAGTTCCCCTGTGGTACCGACCAGTAGCTTTCCACCTGAAATCAATTCTGACTCCACGGCTGGAAGTCCAGTTCAGAGACAGTCTGCCCAGAGGTGGAGGGATCTATACTATTGAAAGGTTAACACGTTACATCCAGTGTAAGAGTAATCTGAATTCCTAGAGACACTTAGTAACTCCAAGCCCTCTACTTCATATGTTTTACTTCAAAACATTTCTAGGTTCAAAACCTAGAGTTCAAAAATGTATTAAGTTTACTCTACTTCTAAGTCTACGGATTGACAAGACATAATATTATTGCATGGTACATTTTTTTATTTATGTATAAAGATAATTTGGTTTAGTTAAAAACTTGTAAATTGACATTTGAAATGAATTAGTTAAGAAAAGTATTTACTTCATCAAAAAGAAAACTATATTCCAATTACCACCTTTCATTCAATACAATGAAAGGGAGGGGCAGATGAGATTTTTTTCTTCTTTAGGTTTTTTTCTAATAGTTACGTTTAGTAAATTACACTGGAAGTCTTTACAAACTCACATGTTATAGTTGTTGGAGTAATAGATAGTCTACAAACAGTAAACAAAAGAGTTTTAGTTGTTTTTTTAATTTGTTTGATAGGAACAGTAACTATGGAGGGCAGAATAATCCCTACGTTGCTGCAGACTGAGGGCAGCCTACCCCTCACTTAAGTTTTTCTGCAAGATATCCATGAAATGTTAAGCATGTATGTTTTGCTACTGGAATGGGAAGATGTAGTGATATGTCAAAAATAAGCTTCTGTAGCCCAGGGTGACTTATGAGTATGCACTGTACATCCAGACACGATATATTTTATTTTAAAAAGAGCAAAGTTCTACAGACTGCATGAGTTGTCCATGTTTACATCTTCATAAAGATAGCCATCTATGACATGGCTATGTCATAGATGGCATATCTATGTCAGATTAAGATGCCAATTTGAAGTCCTACTGTATGTCATGATGTTTGTTGGTGAAAAGTTGAACCCAAAGTAGTAGCTGAGTTTGCAGATTTAATGGGAAAATTATGAAAATAAGAACAAAGTAAAAATTAGTAATGTTTCAAATAACTTATCTTTTACCTTTGGTATAGATTTGAGTTCATTGAATGCAGCAGTGATAAAACATTTCAAAATGATATTATCTTAATAGGCAGCATGGGTTCTGGTGGCTCTGGGTTGGATCTTTATTCCTGTCTACATCTCTGCTGCTGTGGTCACCATGCCTGAATACCTGGCTTTGCGTTTTGGAGGCCGTAGGATCCGCATATACATGTCTGTTTTATCCCTGATTCTCTACATCTTCACAAAAATATCAGTAAGGCACGGCTACTTACATTACAGATGCTCACATGGCTGATCTTTTGTCAGAAATTACAGTGCTGTAGTGTCTGATCTTATGTGTTTTTGCCAGACAGATATGTTTTCAGGGGCGTTGTTCATTCAGGTGTCACTGGGCTGGAATCTCTATCTGTCTACAGCTATATTGTTGTTGGTTACAGCTGCTTACACTGTGGCAGGTACACACACACACACACACACACACACACACACACACACACACACATACGCACGCACACACACACACACACACGCACACACACACACACACACACACACAGATTAAGATCCCAATTTGAAGTCCTACCGTATGTCATGATGTTTGTTGGTGAAAAGTTGAACCCCAAAGTAGTAGCTGAGTTTGCAGATTTAATGGAAAATTATGAAAATAAGAACAAAACCAAATCCAAAAGGATCCCCAAGAATCACAAGGAAACAGAAAAGCACAAAGAACTGACAGGAGTAGACATGAGGATCTAATGAATAATTGAAGAAAGTGAGAGGCTTAAATACTGGGAGGTAGAAAGCTAGATAAAAATTAGAACTAATGAGCCAATTGATTGCAGGTGAGAGTGGTGAGGGGCGGGGCAAAGGAAACTACATAGACATACAGGGGAACGCAAAAAAGTGAAGGACATAAGGGAGCTGAAAATAATTCTAAAATTAAGCTAAAAGAAAACAATGAAGTAGAAAAAGACAAAGATGAGGGGAACTATGAAAGAATTAAATCAGAAACAAGGTTGCTCTAAAAATAACTAAGGAACACAGAGCTAAAGCAACTAGGACTAAACAAAGAAATAATTTAAATAGAATCATGAAAGAAAAATGGACATAGATTCAGACACAATAGAAGAACTAAACCCAAAGCAGTGGTGCCCAAAGTGGGTCCCAGAGGATTAGCATCCTGCATGTTTTTGTCCTGTCCCTGATGGTAGGCCTTCTAATGAACCATCATTGGATCCAGGTGTGTTAAACTAGGAAGAGAACTAGAACATGAAGGAAGGAAGGAGGACCTCCAGGCTGGTAGTCCCGGAGTGGGATGGGAGTGAAGACGGTGGGAGTTCGACCGTTGAGCAGTGGAGCGGAATCTGAAGATGACAGAGCAGAATCAAAAACTTGCTGATATTGGGTGGCATAAAACTGGTTTGTGACTGGACTGCCATGGCATCTCAGCTTGACGATGATGGAGATGAGATGGATTTTGGTGATTGGACTCCAGTGCATGGTAGTAGAGGAACAGGAAGAGACCGAAAAGAAGATAATTTATCAGACACAAAGTAGTAAGCCTTGTGAAAATAGTTTGGATGAAAATAAAGTAGCTTGTAAGAGAATAGTTAGGGAGGAATCTAAACTAATTAAATTTTGGAAGGAGGATGAAGGTATTTGATTCAGTCCGTTAGCTCTGTCAAGAGAATTAAAAACGAAGTTTGGAGATCTGACATTTGCTAAAATAAAAAGGAAAACCATTGTAATTGTGGAGGGCAACACAGGGTGACTTATGGAGGATGTGAGGACAGAATAAAAGCAATAGAAATTGAAAAAGTTAGTCAGTAATAATATAAGTTACGCAGAAGTTGCAAAAAGAGTGAAGCCAAAAGATGTGATAAGGAAAGTTCAGCTGAATCCAACACCAGAACAAAGACAGAGTGAAACTGAAACTGTTTACAGTTGAAAAGATTCTGCTGTTCATTGTATATGAAATTAATTGTATAGATCAAATAAAGCACAAAACAGAGAAAATACAAATGATTGTGAAAGGGGCAGAGAGGTTTTTTGGTATAGAGGACGTATCTTGGGAGCACATAAATAAGAGTCTAGGGACAGAAGGACAGACAGCAGGACAGGAAGACAAAAACTGATCATCTTACAATGGAACTCTAGAAGCCTTATCGCAAATGGACAAGGATTTGCTAATTTAAAGAAGATCTAGATATCATATGTATTCAGAAAACTTGGCTTAAACCAAATCTTGATTTTGTTCTAAAATGATATGAAAATGTTAGAAGAGACAGAGAGGGAAGATCTGGAAGAGGGTGTATAACATTCATAAAACAGGAAATTCAATTTAGACTATTGGCTAAAGGAAGAGAGTTAGAATATATTGTTACTCAAATTTGAACAGCAATTTAAAATAATCAAGTTCTATAATCAATGTAAAAGACTTTCAATAGATTTAATGCAGGAACTTGATGTTTATTTAGAGGGTAAAGTTATTTGGTGTGGGAACTTTAATGGCCGTAGCTCTTTATGGAGTCATCATTATGATCAAAATGGGTATATAATAGAAGAAATAATGGAGGTAAAAAAAAAATTGGTATGTATAAATTATGGGAGTGGAACCAGAATTAATTTTAGACATGATACAGTGTCAAAAATTGATTTAACATTAGTTTCAAATTCTATAGCAGGTGTTTGTTAATGGCAAGTAATCAATAAAACTATAGGAAGTGATCATTATCCTATTGTAATTGAAATAAAGTTAAACATAGAGAGTTGTTGTATAAAAGGAATGAAGAAATAGTGTTTTAGGTCTGCAGATTGGAAACATTCAGGAACAGTAGTTGTTGAATCTTGTTGGTGTTCTTGCTGATTTCCTGTTGTGGGCGGGGTTTTACACAGGTGTGTGAAATCTGTTAATAAAAGGCCACAGGCTGCACCGCACCGCACACACTGCACCGCACTCAGGCCAAATGAAGTTAAAGACTGTGTTGTTTTTCCTCCGTCAGTACCCGGCATTTCCAGCCCTTTAAAGATGTCAGCGTCAACAGTAGTGAAATAAAAAATGTTAAAAGTGGTTATGAATAGTAGTGTTGATGACTTAAATTTTTCTATATGTACTGCTATCTTAGAAGCAACTAATCACAACTTTCAGAATCTGAATGAATACAAGAAATTGCAAGCAAATGTGAGAAAATGCAAAAAGAGATAATTGGAGGAGTTTTTGTAATTCAGTAGGAAGAGAGACAGATATTTCTAAGGTATGGGCAACAATTAAAAGGACGAATAGGATTAAAAGAGTGAGTTGGTATCCAATATTAAATGATGGAGAAATAACAGCAGTTACTGTAAGGCAAAGTTGTTGGTAAATACTTTTGTTCAAATTCATAGTTCTGAAAATATCAGTGAAGAAGAAAAAAAAGGAATAGACAAGACAATTTTAGTGTCATGTCCCGTGTTTTTTCCGTGTCTTTATTTGAGCTTTCTGTGTCCCAATCTCCATGTTGTCCTGTCTTCCCCTTGATTGTTCCCAGGTGTGTCTCGTCTCTGTAAAATTATAAGAATGGGAATAAATGGTCATATGTTTAGATGGATTAGATCATTTCTAAAAGGAAGACAAATACAAGCGAGGATAAGGAAGGATTATTCTGAGAGTTTCAATATAGATAATGTGACACCACAGGGAAGTATAGCAAGTCCGTTATTATTTTCAGTGGTAGTTAATGATATGTTTAAAGAAGTAGAATATGGAATGGGACTTTATTTTTTTGCTGATGGTGGAGCAATTTGGACTTTATTGTAAAGAAGCTTCAGGGAGCAATTTGAGCTGTAGAAAAACTCATATAAATGGGATATAAAACTTTCTGTAGAGAAAACTAAAATAATGGGGGTTTTTTTACAAGGAAAAGAGTTGATGAAAGAAATATCTTAATCTTATATGGTTAAGATTTGGAAAGAGTTCATTTAAATTTCTTGAGATGTGATTTAATGAAAGAATGACACGGGGTGTGCACATTAAGAAAATAATCGATACATGTAGGAAGATGTTAAATATAATGAGGTGTTTAGTTGGAGCAGAGTGGATAGAAATTCATAAAAAGCAATTTATGCTGGGTTAATCAGGTAAATCTTGGACTATGGATATATAGTTCAGCAGCAGATACAAACCTCCAAAAGTTAAATATTTTCCAACATCAGGCTTTAATAATACTGGTGTTGTTAAAACATCTTCAACATTAGCATTACAGGTTGAAATGGGAGAAATGCTTCTGAAAGTTAGAAGGGATCAATTATCTTTAAGAAAAGATCATCCAACATTAGACGTGCTTAAACCTGAATGGGAAAAGGAAAAGAATATGGATAATAAACTCTAAAGTTAATAAAATTAATTCAAATCAGTTAGATATACTGTATGTCAGACAGTTCCATTACCTGCAGCACCACCTTGGATCCTTCCTGATGCTGAAGTTGAGTTTTCATTATTAGAAAAGAAGAACAAAGAGAAATTTCACATTATGAATAAATATATAATACAAGAACACTTAAATAAACTTTATAACTGCATACAAATGTAAATTTTGTATGGGTTCCAGCACATCACGGGATTAAGGGGAATGAAATGGCAGACAGGATGGGTAAGGAGAGAACCAATCAGGTAAAGACAGATATTAATGTTAGTTTTAGTATAACAGAAATTAAGGGTATAATTAAACAAAAACAAAAGAGGTGGCAAAAATTATGGGTAGAAGAAAAGAAAGGAAGGTGGTTTTATAAAATCCAAAAGAGAATTGGACAAATGAGACGAACAGAAAGAAACAGGAGAGGAAAGATAATTATTTCACAACTTGGACACACTGGATTGAATTTTTGATGGGGAAACATCAGACAGAGAAATGCGACTGTGGGGATGTGAGACAGTGGAACACATCATTTTGAGTTGTAGGAATTATCTGATTCGGAGAAACAAGTTCATTAGGAACCTTAGTAATATGAAAATGAAATTTTAATATTGTTGATTTACTGCAAAAGGAGTCGGGAAGCAGAGGATGTCAAGGTATATTTGATTTTTTTGAAACATAGTAAGTTGTATAGTAGGATATAGTTTTTTTATTATTGGTTTTTGTTTTGTCATGCGGTCCACACTTCTTACCAGTTGGTGGTGGTAATGCTCACCTAACGATTCTTGCCAACCGCCAATAAATATCAAGAAGAAGAAAACCTCCAGGACCCACTTTGGGCCCCAAAGTGGGTTCTTATCTTCTGACCGAAAGTAACAAGATAAGAAAACTAGAAACACTACAAAAGAGGCTGAAATAAGGAACAACTAGAACGACTAAACAAACAAATAATCTAACTAGAATCACTAAAGAGAGGTAGAGATACACTCAGTCCTAGGAACAACTGAACGTAGGATAACAAAATAACTAATAAACATAAATAGACAAACTATAAGGGTGAAAAATAAGGAGCATAAGAACAATACAAATTTAACCAAAATAAGTTGCCTCCAATAACAAAACTGGAATAACCCTGAGTGGAAAAATTAAATGAAACAAAGACCCCCAAAAAATCCCCACCCAAAACACAGAGTCCTGACATTTGTTCAGTTTAGTGAATCACAATTCAGTCTAATTGGAGTCTGACAAGTCAAGTTCTAATCCAATAACAAGGCCTTTACCAAAATATACCTATACTTGTTTGGGAAAGTCAACAAATGGCTTGATCCAAATGTAAACATTCATCAACCTGCACAAGTCGACTCAACATAATTATTATTATTTACCGATGATGGGGACACAACTGCAATTGCTTTTATAGGGTTGCATAATGATTAAAGTATTTCACAAAACGTATATTCAGTGTGATACAAACTCAAATCTGTATATCTGCAGGTGGTTTGGCAGCGGTCATCTACACTGATGCTCTACAGACTTTAATCATGGTTGGTGGAGCCCTTTTGTTGATGTTCATGGGTAAGATGGGCACTGCTGCTTCTAACTACATGCTGTTTTTTTAAATAATAGTTATAGTGTGAAATAATAGGTGTAAAAGATGAGCTCATTTAGCAGATGTCTTACCTGAAGTCATGGTAATTTTTAGAGTACTGTGATTGAGAAAAATGATTGTCTTTGTATGGATTTATTATCTGTATTTTTTAGCTTTCATTAAGGTGGGCTGGTATGAGGGCCTTGTGGATCGCTACATGTCAAGCATCCCCACAGTGACAGTTGAAAACACGACCTGCCATATTCCTCGTCCTGATGCATTCCACATGTTCAGAGATGCTGTGTCAGGAGATTTACCTTGGCCGGGGTTAATTTTTGGCCTTACTGTGTTGGCTACATGGGTCTGGTGTACTGATCAGGTAAGATTATCCACATTCCTACATAGCTGAAGTTCATAGAGATGTCTTGTTAAGGAATGCTTTAAAGAGTAGCAGGTGGTGGCATGGTGTTAAGATGGTTGTTGTAGGACCCAAAAGGACAGAAGTGTACAGTGAATTAGAAGATTTAATAAAAGAATATTGAGAAACAAACTAAAAAAAAATCCATGGAAAGAAAAGTAGCAGGATAGAACATGAGAAGAACATGAGGCAGAACAAGAAACTGATGGGAGTAGATGTAAAGATCTGGCGAGCAATGGCTGAAGCTTGAATGCTGAAGCAAATGGATGCTGAACAAAAGAACTAGGCTGATTAGCTATCCGATTCCAGGTACGAGTAGAGGAAGTAGGAGGCACTAAGGAGAGGGTGAGAGAAAGTGACACAGGAGACAAGAGAGAGTTCAGAGGGGATCAGAAAGTAAATCTAACACTGAAGATTTTTCCATTTCTTTTTTTTTTGTGTTCCTAATTTAATTGGGAAACATAATTAAATTAGAGAGATAGAAACTAATCAGACACAAGCAATAAATATAACTGGAATCACTAAGGGAGAATTAAAGTGAAAACAAGGCAGAACTATTAAGAAAAAAACTAAGGAACACCAAAAATGACAAAATCCAAAACGAAACAACCCCAGATCCTAACAGATGGAAACTAAATTTGTATTTCCCCTCACTCTGTTCTTTTACTACTCTATAAAACCATCTTATATATCTCTAATTCAGGGGCATCAACATCCAGTCTGGGAGGGCTGATGGTGTCTATCTCCAGCTAACATTCTGGGCGAGAGGCGGGGTCACCCTGGACAGGACGCCAGTCTGTTGCAGGGCAACACAGAGACAGACAGAACATAACTGATAACAACTCAGCATTAATGAAGTGAACTAGATCAGTGAAATAGACCAGGAACTACAATATAACATAAACAAAGGTTGAGGCAGCTGTTTAGTACAAGTGAGAAGTTTAATGACTGTTTAATGGTGAAAAAAAATATGATTCTAACTTTATGCTGATGCAGGTCATTGTTCAGAGGTCACTGTCAGCCAAATCCTTGTCTCATGCTAAAGAAGGCAGCGTTTTGGGAGGGTACCTAAAACTCCTGCCCATGTTCTTCATTGTGATGCCCGGCATGGTAAGCCGCGCACTCTTCCCAGGTAATTCTGTGTGCTTCTCTGTGTTAACCTTTCATGCCATACACCTGTTTTCTTCTTCTAGTTAAGAGGACTTGACATTGGACAATTAGTTTTAGACATGAATATGCTGGTAGTTGCTCAAAGATGAAATTGGATTCCATCAGTGGAAGTGAAAGTGAATTTATTTAAGTTGGAAAAAACTACCCTTATAAATTTATTTATTTATTGTTCATGCAAATATCACCATATTTCCTCTTCTCTGTTGGTAGATGAGGTTGGATGTGTGGATCCAGCACTGTGTCAGAGAATATGTGGAGCATCAGTTGGCTGCTCTAACATTGCTTACCCCAAACTGGTGGTAGAATTAATGCCTATTGGTGAGTCACAGAGAAACGCATTTACCTCATTTACTGTCTATGACTTTAACATGCCACGTAGTGCGTGTGATTATCAAGAGGAGGATGCGAGACACCAAACCCAACAATATAGATGACCTAATAAATTTTATTGAAGACAGCTGGGCTTCTATCACACCTATACTGGACACCTGGGCTTCTATCATATATATATATATATATATATATATATATATATATATATATATATATATATATATATATATATAGATAGATAGATAGATAGATAGATAGATAGAGTGCTATTCATTTTAATTGTATATTTGTTGCTGTTTTTAGACAACATTTCACTGAAGATGTTCATTGTAACATATCTCTATAACCAGTAATACTTTTACTTGTGTCCACTTAACATCTTTTAATACAAAAAACATACTATATGTACTGTATGTGTTGAGGAAGACGCAAGTCACATGACACTTCGTCAAGACACGTTTTATTCACGCTTTGTGCATGAATAAAATTAGCACAAAGAGACGATCATCACGGAAAATGCAAGAAGAAATTCATGTAACACAGGTTTCAAATTAAAAGCAGTCAAGCTGGCCGATAAAGAGGGAAACAGACCTGCTGCACGTAAACTTGGCATTAACAAATCCATGGTGAGACGCTGGAAACAGCAGTGGGAAGAACTGGAGCACTGTAAAAAGACACACAAAAAAAGCCTTCAGAGGTAATAAAAGCAGGTGGCCCGAACTGGAAAACATTCTTGAAGACTGTGTGAACACACAGAGAGCAGATGGGCGAAATGTTTCCACTGTGCAGATCAGACTGAAAGCAAAAACAATCGCCACCAAAAAGAAAATTCAGGATTTCAAAGGAGGACCGTCGTGGTGTCTAAGATTTATGAAACAAAAAGGTCTGTCCATCAGGACACGGAAACTCTGTCAGCAAATTTTCACAAATTCATTCAAACAAAGATAGCAGAGAATTCCGTTGGACTAGATGAAATCATAAATAAATATGAATCATAAATCTGATGTTTGACCTGCCCCTCACCAGGACCGTCAACAAGAAAGGTGAAGCATCTGTCACACTGAAAATAACCGGCCATGAAAGGATGCATTTCACCTGTGTTTTGGGCTGCACTGCATCCGGACTGAAGCTTACACCAGTGGTAAATTTTAAGCAAATTATTATGCCAAACGAAAACCTGTCGTGAAAGTTAACACAAAAGAGTGGATGGGAGGGAGCCTAATGAAAGAATGCTTGACCGAGTGTTATGGCAGCGACCGGGAAGATTTTTTTAGTAGGAAAAAAGCATTCCTCGTTTTGGACAGCATGAGGGCCCACATTACAGATTCTGTGGCTATCAAGAGGACAAACTCCATTCCAGCTGTGATTCCTGAGGGCACAACAAAGTATTTGCAGCCACTTGACATTAGTATGAATTGTGCATTTAAAGTGGCCCTCCGAGTTGAATGGGAGGCTTGGATGACCAGCGGCGAGAAATCATTTACCAAAACTGGCTGCATGCGAAGAGCAACTTTGGGTTAGGGTTACTGATATCAGCCACTTGGGTTATTTGCTGGTGGTACATCCCATGTAGGGGCTTGTCCTCCCATGATGGTATCTCTGGCACCTCAACCTCCGTTCCCTGTTGTCTGAGACATTCACTGAGCACATTGTCTGTTGAGGCTTTGTCCCTGATGTATTTATGGATCTTAGTTGTTTCGTCCTGGACAGTGGTTCTCACACTCACTAGTCCTCTGCCTCCTTCCTTGCGGCTCGTGTACAGTCTCAGGGTGCTGGATTTGGGGTGGAACCCTCCATGCATGGTTAGTAGCTTTCTAGTCTTAATATCTGTGGCTTTTATCTCCTCCTTTGGCCAGCTAATTATTCCAGCAGGGTATCTGATAACTAACAAGGTATAGCTGTTTTGGGTCTTAATTGTCTGTAGACCTCCTGCGACAGCCTTGAGCCTCTTGCGCACCCTACATATTGAGGAGGTAAATCAGTCATTTGGCTGAGATTTGTTGGAAAAAGGTTGTTTTATAAAATGGCACTTTGTGCCTTGAATGTGGGTCTATTTATTTGTCTATTTCTGAACATAGCTCTTTCTCAGTGCTATATTACTTTATCTTTCTTTCTCTATTGTGTTTTCCTGAAATCCTTTTAACTACAGAGAAGTAATAAATACAATAGTTAGAAACTTTTGACCCAGAATGATTTAGATTAGTCACTCTTTAGCTTATTTTATCAGAAACTGTAGAGTACAGTACTCACTATTTAGATGCAGAGACCAGAAGCCCAGGGGACAATTTTGGATAAACATTGTTAAACTATTTTTTAGACTCCTGTTCTCCCAACCCATAAATGAAATTAGACCAGAGGATACTTAGTAACCCTGAACAGGAGCACCTAGCTTACATACTTTAAATCAGGGGTCGCCAAAGTCGGTCCTCGAGGGCCTGCATCTTGCCTGGTTTAGTTCTTTCCCTGATTTAATACACCTGGATCAAATGATGGTTCAGAAATTGACCTTCTGAAAACGTTGTCATGACCAGGATGGCGGCCCACGAGGACCAACATTGTGGGGACCCCTGCTTCAGATCAATGTTAGATTATTTTTCTTCTTTAGCTTTTTCCTTTGGTTTGTTATTTTGTTTGTATTTCCTTTTAAATCTTGTAAAGCACTTTGTATTGCCTTGTTGCTGAAAATGTATTGTATAAATAAAATGATCTTTTCCTTTAAATGAGTTTTCCAATTATGTGACACGTAAAACAGTAATGTTTACCTCTAACAGAAATTTAAGATCATGTTGCACTATAGAGTTGGATGGGCTCATATGTCTGTGAACTCCAAAGTGGAAAATGGGCTCCTGCTCATTTCAGGAATGCATAATAACTGATGCAGTTCTAGGAAATAATCATGGTTTCACAGGACTGCGGTAGATTTCAACATGTTGGTGTTTTCAACCTCCTTAGTGCTATTTATTAGTCAAAGGCTTCATTGTTTTTCATTGTGTACCCTAAAACATTGCGATGTAAATTTTGATGTGTTATATATGTGTGCTTCTCAATCATTTTCAAATAGTTCAACTTGACAATGCTAATTTTTTTTTTTTTTACAGGTTTACGTGGCCTCATGCTGGCTGTAATTTTGGCTGCTCTGATGTCATCTTTGACATCAATTTTTAATAGCAGCTCCACTATATTTACTCTGGACCTCTACCACAAAGCAAGACCAAGAGCCTCAGAATTGGAACTTATGATTGTTGGAAGGTGGGGATGAAAATTACACCTTAAATCCAGAAAGTTAATTTGGACAAAAGAGATTAAATGTCAGTGTCTAAACTGTCTTTCTATCAGAAAACAAGCAATTTTTCCCCCTATATGCAATAATTTTTGCTGCACAAACAAATACTCACAGTGCTAAATGTTTACTTATGTTATCTAAATACATATTCAAGACATGTTGAGTTACATGATGAGGTGTATGTTGATAGGATCAGGAGTAATGAGAAATAACATACCAGTTATTATTATTATTATTATTATTTTACATTCTTCTACAGGCTTTTACTGATATAGCTTAAAAATCAGTTCAATGAAAAGAAGTCAAATGTTATTATCTGTCTGGTGTCCAGGAAAATCTTGGACATGCTGGACCACATCTTACTGTCATCTTGACTTCAACCAAAATGCCACAATGATAACACTATGTCTATGTTCAGGATTTTCGTCCTCGTCTTGATGTGTGTTAGTCTGTTGTGGATTCCAGTTGTCCAGACAGCCAACAGTGGACAGCTTTTTGAGTACATCCAATCTGTGACCAGCTTTCTAGCCCCACCAATTACTGCTGTCTTCATAATGGCAATCTTCTGGCCTCGGGCCAATGAGCAGGTATGTCCCTGACAGATGTACACATCAAAAAATAATCACAAATGGCACTGAAATGATGTTAACTCAGGAATTTCCAGTCCAGTTCTCATTTACCAAAACTTTGCATGATTCCAATGTGTTTCTTTTGTAAAACCCCTTGACTCAACATGGTAAAATCTAACTCATCTAACCTCCACAACAAACTTTTATAATGTTATCCTTCTAGGATCCTCCTCTTGTCCTAGCAGGGTCGCAGATGGGGGGCTGGTGCCACAATCTCCAGCAGTCATCAAGTGACATTCTGGATATCTTGCCAATCTATCGCAGCAGGCATGTGCAGAGGGGGGGGGATGGAGAGGGCATGAGTCCTCGCCCCATTGATGCCCCAAGCCCCCTTTTTGAGTCTTCTTTTTTTCCAATAATTTATTCATGAGCTGGCAAAGATGTTGAGGTCAGGGAATATTTTTTGTCTGGAACCAATGTAGGCTGATTAGTTTGTGTCTCGTTACAGCCTGTTCTCCCTAACATAGTCTGATAAAGTGGTATCACTTAAGAGCAAGTCTTTGAAATGTCAGCCATATAATTAGAAGGGTTAGGGTTACGGTAAACATTTGTATTTAGCCTTACCTCTAAACAACTGTTTCTTCCGTAAATATGCAAGTCCAATATTTAAAGAGAACATATAGAGCAATTCTGTAGCATTTTTGTCAGATTGGTATCTAATGTATTTATTAATCTGCATATTTGTTTCCTAGGGGGCATTTTGGGGTCTGATAACAGGCCTGGTGATGGGACTGGTCCGCATGATTCTGGAGTTCTCCTATACAGCACCATCCTGTGGTCAGCCTGATCACCGGCCCTCTGTTTTAACTGATGTCCATTACCTTTACTTTGCTCTCATCCTGCTGGCTCTTACATGCCTAGTAATTATTACTGTCAGCTTGTTGTCTGCTCCAATACCAAAAGAAAATGTAAGCTGCATTTATTAATTTTATTTTTAGATGTGAAAACTGAAAATGCAAACAAACAACATTAATTAGGACCTGTACTTCAATTGATCTTCAATGTGCTTCTGGGTGGCAAGTACCTGTCTCCAAAAGTTAGCCGCAGAGAGTTGGAACTGAAATGTCCCCAGTTGATGACAGGGGATGACGGGCGCATACACCATCATCAGACAGAATAAGCCATTGGCTCAAATGATCAAATTGCTCAACTTACCCCAAACTTTCCATTTCAACTTTATTTATGTCCACAACTAAAATGATGTTTATGACCTCATGTTGTAGCTCATACATAGCACAATTGATATATAAAGCAATTTTTAAAAATATCTATTATAATCTAAACACAATTCTTATGAAACTCATAAAACACTAAATTTACTTTCAAGAGTGAAAGAGAGTTTGTAAGAAATAAAAGTCTAACCACTTTATCCATGAGGGTATTTCCTTCACAAGCTTCACTAAAAGATGCCTTCCTCCTAACTATTTGAAAAGTATGAAAACGTGCTCAATGGTTTTAGAGTTTCCTAGAAACAAGGGATGGCTCAACTTGCTCCCTAGCCCCCTACATCCCAGTTAATCCTAGTGATGAAAAAGTGCGTTAAGCTGTTTATTACTCAAATTAGTTTCAAAACTATTTGTCTCTTGACAATACTCCTTACATCCTCTACGGGGTTCAGTCAGGCCACTCTGCTGGCCAATAAAGCCAATAAAGCACTGTAACACCAGGTTATTCAATCAGCTTTTGATGTCTTTGGCAGTTGGGCCAGGTTCCAAGACCTGATGACAAATTAAATCAGCATAAAGCTTGTCAGCAGAGCAAATCATAAAAATGTCCCAACAGTCGGCTGCATTGACTGTGTCTTCTAAAGTGATAAGACACAGTGAACTAACACCAGCAGATGATATGGCATCTCAAATCAAGGCCATAGGTTCTGGAGGCGGGACCCACAACTGAATGCTCTAACCATTAAATTGTGGACATTAATAATTTTTTTTCAAACTGGGACCTGTTTATGTGGTAAAATGTAAGACTTCTAACCTTGAGTTTATTGTGCAACTCCAGTAAAGAATAAATACTAGACAAAGGAAATTACACAGCTTCAGTCTGACCCTGTTCATTGGTTCAAGCAGATTCCAGCACTTTGTTGTAAAGAAATGTCATCACAAAGTTTTTATGATGTTCAATTTTTTTGAATAATATTTGTAAAAGGAAATCTTCCAAAAATGCCCCGAATATATCAAACTTCTTAATCGATACATGTATTAATTTAGTGCAAGCATTAAAACAGAAACTTGCTCTAAATGTCTTTGGTTCAGCTCATTTCTCTCTGCTTTATCTCTCCTGTGCAGCTCCACAGACTAACCTGGTGGACCAGATTTAATCTTGAGCCTCGCATCGACCTCACAACTCCTCAAAGGGCACCAGATCTGGAGAACTCTGTTTGCTCTGAGACTGAACAGTCTCCACCACCTACATGGAAAAGAGTTGCTATGTGGCTCTGTGGCCTGAGTAGTCCAAGCTCACAATCTGCACCACCAAACGCACAAAGCAATGACCTGAACTTTCTGTATGAGAAACCTGTTTGGAGGAAAGTCTGCAATTTTAACGCTGTGTTGCTTTTGGCTTTTAATGTGTTTCTCTGGGGATACTTTGCATAAAGTTGTGCTTAGACTTGTAGCATCTCAGTATCTATGGAGGAGTTATCTCTGATGTTGAGACAAATTGTAAGGTGGAACTAAAATTGTCTTGTGTCAGCAAACTAATTTGTGATCGTGATGTTTCAGTATTCAAACACTTGATGAAAAGCTAAAATGTATTATTGATAAATTCAATGTATACAGAAGAAAATCAATTCTATAGATGTATAATAACAGTATAATTGACAATGGATGGCTCAACTTACTCCCTACCCCCCTACATCCCAGTTAATCCTAGTGATGAAAAAGTGCATTAAGCTGTTTATTACTCAAATTAGTTTCATTTTTGATTTGAAAATCCACCTTGAAAATTTTTTTAAATAAATTGTGAGACCAAATCAATTTCTCCTTCTGCATCTGCCATTGTGGGCATAAAATAAGAATAAATTTGCAAGTGTTATTGTGTGCAAAGCAGATTTCTGAAGACTTCAGATGTCATTGTGGGCCTTCTAGCCTCCCAGTGAGGAGAATTGGACAGCTGATGGAATAAAAAACATTGTTCATTTCCATAGTTTAATTAATGTAGGCTTACTTTACTGATTTAAAAAGTGTGGGCATATTAGATTACTCCTGTCAACACATAGACATATCTGGTGTTGTGAAACTTTGATATGTCTGGGAATTTGTGCAGCCAAGAGAAACATTATAAGCAAAGAGAATAGACTATTGGAATAGTTTTTCACTGGTCTGGAGCAATGCTCCCTCTAATTTTTCATGTGTCTGGGCATTTTTGGGCATATCCCCAGATACATGAAGCTTGTGTTAATACACAAGCATCCTGAGTACACTGAGGACCACTGTGGGCATCATTAGTGTGCATGGCGTGGCCACACACAAGTATTACACTTGTTTATAAATCTGGGGTCATATAAAGTTGCATGTCTTATCAAAAGAATCAGATTACAGCAACAATTTTTATTTGTTTGCTTTTAATTTAAGTGATTTGCCCAATTAAAAAGAAAAAAAAAGAAAAATTAAAACATCGCTGTTTATGAGATACATACTATGTTATAAGTAAGAGTCCTGCTTTAGCCAGGGTGAAAAATGAGACGTTACACCTCGGCCTGTCACGAAAACAGATTTTGTCTCAAAAATTATTGCGATAAACAATAATATTGTTTGAAGACATTTTTATACCGATTTAACAAAAATTACGTAATAATACATGCGATTTCCTGCCAAAGATAGATACAATTTACTTTCAAAAGAACACTTAACACTGGGACTGATACACAAAATAAATAAAACAACCAAAACCAAAAATAAAATAGATTCTCAGTCTAAATTAACAATAAATGTACTTGAATAAAAACTAAACAACATGAAGCCAAAGTGGAAATAAACACTGCATTCAACCAAAAGAGTGCAGATTATGAAGACTCTATAGTATATTGCCTTTCAGTAATAATTAGATTTAAATAGAGAAGAATACGACTGCCTGATGCAATAGTTCAAACTACAGGATTTTTTACCCCGAATGACAATCTTAGAACATTATTGGGGCCTGCCATGCAATGCATAAGGAGAGCAGTGACTGACTTGCTTTGCAAGTCAGTCACTGCTCTCCTTATGCATTGCATGGCAGGCACCTATTAATCTACACCCAATAGAATGTCTCTTTATTTATTTATTTATTTATTTATTTTCTTCCGTCAACCGGAATGCGGCTCGTACCGCTGCGAGCTGTTAAGAATTAAAAAGAGGAATAACTTGATTTAGCTCGTTAATTAATTCTTTGTCCCGAATTCCTGTGTCTGTGTAAGTGTGCAGAGAGAAAAGAGCAATCATACGACTTCAGACTTCAGATATTCAGAGTTTTATCCAGAGAAAATCAATGCAAGAAGAATGTTACAATAAGCATCTCACCTAGATTATCAAAAGTCCAAGACATGACAAAACAGAAACAATGAACTGAGTAAAAACAAACAGTAGATTAACAGAAGATGCATCCTCCGGGAAACTCTCACTCAGCACAAAGAGATTCCAACTTCTGCTGTGAAACAAACCATTTTTTATAGACTGTGTATTCTCCTCATTTAAATATATGCATTAGGAGGTGTGGTCCTTTCCTTTGTGTGGGCTGTCTTAATGTTAATTTTATTACCTCCTGCTAAAGAGCCCCAAAAGCAGATATACGGCAAACCCTTCTCGTACCAGCCGCTGTCCAGTTTGATATACGAGTGCAGCTGCAGCACTATCTCTGCCTCAAAATGTTTTCACAAGAAAGTAGTTTGTATTTTTTAACCAAGCTTGCACACAATGTAATGCTAAATAATGACTATAAGTTTGGATCTAAGAAGTAACTAATTAAAAACATGCTTAAAGAAATATAGTTAATTCTAATATAGATAAAATTATTTATAAAAAGTTTTAAGATCCTAGTGAACTTTTGAACCATGCTCAGGAATTTGTTAATTGCCTGGCAGACAGGCTCCCTATCTAAAGAGATTCAAGGAGTCTAAGACTGTTTTCTGATTAGGAATTTCTGTAAGTTCTGAGAGTCACCAGCTGTCCCAGTTTGGATCTGTATCTAAGTTTATCTTAACCTAAAAGTTAACTTATGTACTATTGTGCTACTTTAAAATTCTTATTTCAACAGAGCCCACCCACAAAAGTGGTATCAAATCGTGCGGCTCGGCGCCGGGAGGGGTGCTATTACTTTTGGTGGGATTCGCAGTTACGATAAAAAAGTAAAAAGCGAAAAACCATCAAAAATTCTTGTCAGTTAGAAACTGTCCAAACTAGAGTGTAATCAACGATTCGTTAGAGTGTGGGAAGCAGTGAGATTCTGACCCCAAATAAATTTTGAAATCGCCGTCACGACCACAAATATCGACCTATCGGTATCAAACTTGGTCATGAAATAGATACGCATGCCTGCTCCGGTAAAATGTTTTCAAAATTTTCCTAGGGCTTACGGTTTTCTGTCTAGGGCCTTCAGAGCAAAGTGATGCGACAGGATTTCGACTCGCTTAGCCAGGATCACTTCCATGTATTTCTGAAAAATGTCAGACCTCAGCGCACACCATTTTTATCTCGTCGCTGTTATTAATGTGAGTGATGTACAGATATGAATAACGGGACTATCGGAGACGAAAGATAGCGCTCTCATACGCTTCAAACGGTTTTCCGATACGTATCACGGTTTCCGAATGGGAAGGAGTTGTTCGGACCGCTTTTTTCAGTCAAAACTGACTGGGTGTCTCACAAAGATAGAATTCTTTCTGTCTCACACACATGACAGTTGCAGAGGATTAATTACCATAGCAACGAAGCACAGCAGGGCCGAGCAGCTGATTAGAACTACAAAAACGCATCACTGTAGTTTTTACTGTGGCAGAGCTCTGAGGAAGGAGCTGGCCTTTAGAATTATAAATTAGAACTACAAAAACGCATCACTGTAGTTTTTCTGTGGCAGAGCTCTGAGGAAGGAGCTGGCCTTTAGAATTATAAATTAGAACTACAAAAACGCATCACTGTAGTTTTTACTATGGCAGAGCTCTGAGGAAGGAGCTGGCCTTTAGAACTACTTGTGTTTTGGGCATTTTATAACTGATTTTAACCAACCTTTGCTGCACATGGGATTAGTGTTAATTAAGTTTAATTAATCTTAATGAAATTAAGCTTAATGAAAATTTCAAAATAAAAGCCTTGACAATTTTTATATCAATTGCTGTTTGGAGCATTTTAGAACTGATTTAACACAATCACTGTTGCTCATGTGAATAGATTGGACATTTAAACGAGGCTTACTGAAAATTTCAAAATAAAAGCCTTAAGATTCCTTTCTGGCTCATGCCTATTTTAGTGAAAATGGCTGCCTCAAACTGATAGAATTATGTCTCCCCCTGTCTGACTCACAGCTGGCAGAGGATCCATTACCATAGCAACGGAGCACAGCAGGGCCAGTGGTTAGGACTACAAAAACGCATCACTGTAGTTTTTATTATGGCAGAGCTCTGAGGAAGGTGTTGGCCTTTAGAACTACTTGTGTTTTGGGCATTTTATAACTGATTTTATCCAACCATTGTTACACACAGGAAGTGTGGTAATTTAAATTAAAATTTTAAAATTTCAAAATAAAAGCCCTGACATTCTTGTATATTATGGAATTGCTCTCCTGGGATTATGTGACTTTTTTATATACACCACTGTTACACTTTAGATTATTTTGGAAAGTTAAAATGAAGCTTACTGAAAATTTCAAAATAAAAGCCTTAAGACTCTTTCTGGCTCATGCCTATTTTAGTGAAAATGGCTGCCACAAACTGATAGAATTATGTCTCCCCCTGTCTGACTCACAGCTGGCAGAGGATCCATTACCATAGCAATGGAACACAGCAGGGCCAGCTAATTAGGACTACAAAAACGCATCACTGTAGTTCTAACATGGCAGAACTCAGAGGAAAAGGCTGGACTTTAGAACTGCTTGTGTTTTGGGCCTTCTATTACTCTTTTTAACCAACCATTGTTACACATGGAATTAGTGTGGAAATTTTAAATTAAGCTTTAAAAATTTTTCAAAATAAAAGCCTTGACAATTTTCCCATCAATTAAGTGCTCTTTTGACCATTTTATGTCTGATTTTACCAAAAAATCGTTACACATGGGATTACATTGGCCATTTAAAATGAAGCTCACTGAAAATTTCAAAATAAAAGTCTTAAGAGTCGTCTGTGGCTAATGCAGCGCCGCGGGCGCTGCAATGATATTAGCTTGCTTTATCTTTTCGTCTCAAGTTATTAGTGCATTAGTGCATTAGTCTCAATGCTAATGCACTGTCTTGCACAGCAAGACAGTGCATTAGCATTAGCACAAACATTAGCTTTTCACTAGCATTTAAGATTATTAAGAATAAGATTATCCTGCATGATCTTTTTCTCTCAGGTTTTCTCTTAGCATTAGCCTTTTACCTTAGCCTTTTCCTTTACTTATTACCCATGTTCAATAATTCATGCTTGTGACTCTCCACATGGTATTGATGAAATTGCAGCTTTCTTTATCATGGATGCTAATGTTTAGCATCAGAACGCTGGGTCCAAACCGACGGGCACACTTTGGCAGGCCCCGGTTAAATTTCTTCAGGAATTTTCTAGTTCATTCTAAGATTGTCCCTTGTGTGTTACGGTAGATCGTCGTGGCCGCACTGATCTAAATCAAGGATTTGCCCAGCCTGGGAGCTGAACGCAGCCTTTTTTCATTCAGTGTCATCAACAGTAAGAGAAAAAGGTAGGAAGAAACGATATAGACGATAATTGAAATGAGGTCGATAGTTTTAATTTATCGTGCGATTAATTGAGTTATTGTTTATCACGACAGGCCTAGTTACACCTTTCAGACATAACTTTTTGTTTAGATTAAAATGTTCACATTTTGCACAATAAAATGTTTTCTGCAGCTTGTAAAATATTTAACTATACAGTTTTTTACATCTGGCCTTCTCACTACTCTTGTACACTTAGCCCAGGTTGATGGTC